AAAGTGAACCATATTTCTAGGTCTTATTTGTATTGTGTACATACGAGTGTGTGTGTGTGTGGCGAACAGCAGACTTAATACAGAATGCGCCAAACATGGTAAAATATATTTGCGGTATGAACGCACAAATTGAGCGCACATGCAAGAAGCTTTACTCATTGCACTGCATTACGTTTATATACAAATACACACTACAGTTGAGTCTTGCCACTAGACCAGACCAAAGCAGCTGAACTAAACTAAGTAGGCAGCCACAGCAAGTGTTTGTTTATAACCATATGCAGGAAAAACAGCCACCATTATAGCACCAAGAGTAGACACCTCTTAGGAGGCGAATATTTTTCTCCATATATAAAGTGTGAGTGCTTCAACCTTTAACCCCACATTTAATTTACGACATTGTGGTTGCAGATCTTAATTAGACGGTAGATAAAGTTAAGAGCGTGTGCTAAAGTTTTGCTCATAAACCAACAAACCAAAATGTGGCTGGCAGCAAAAAAATGTTTGATTGTTTTTTGGTTTCTAAAAAAACAGCAACAATCAAATCTCTATGCTGTCATTTTCAAGTTGTTGTATTTTTTTTTATTTTCACAAGTTTTCCTTTAGTTTGTGGTGTTGCCAATATTTTACAGGCATTAAATTTTCTTTTAGAGAGAAAGATTTCCTGGCATTTGATGATGCTGTTACGGCTGCTGTTAGTGCAACTTCTTAGGAATGTTGAAGTATTAAGGCGTTGTAGGCGCGTAGAAACATGCCAATTATGTTGGTGGTTTGGCCGCAACATCAGCGGTTAGGAGGCAGTCATCCAGCCACCTCATCAACGTTCTCACTGCATCAGAAGCTAAGAGAGGTGGTACTTTTGAGGCGTTGGTGACTGTGGTAATTTTTGTAGTCTAATGTGTTGCGTATAAAATAAAACTTTTTTCGTTTCTTTTACCTAAAATCAACTTATATTTAGTTAGAGTTGCATGCAACATTTGTGAAATTTCTTTTTATTATTCGTTCGTTATTTTTCATTATCATCATATTACTAGTTGTTCATCTTGTTGTTGTTGTTGCTGTTGTTTTGTTCATTTTCTTCGGCTGTTGCATCCTCTCGGTATAAATTCTCACTTTAGATAAAGATCATGATATAGTGGCGTTGAGTTGTGGAGCTCGGTTAAATGTTGACTGGTTGAATAGCTGGCTGGTTAGTTGTCTGTTTGCTTTATTTCTCTGTTGATGCTCAGGTTTGAATGGTGTTTGTTCTAGGAGTCTTCTAGTTAATAAGAATGTTGATGACGTTGATCTTTTTTTTTAGAATTTATGATTTTTGCTTTTATCAGCTTCCTTTACATGTGTAAATGAAGGTGGTTCTTCAAAAATGCAATGTTTGCTTTAAATTATTATATGAAAATGGAGTAAAAATAAAAATGCAGCAAAAGGGAGACTTGGTAGAACAAAAGATAAGGAAGGATCTACAGCTGATTTTAGGTATTTCATATAGAAACTAAGTGATCACCGATTTAAATTGTTTTCTCAATTGGAGCGTTATTTAAGAAACTACAGCCGATTTTAGATTTTTCATATAAAAATCGATTTTTCATTGAAAATATAAGTGATCACAGATTTTCAATATTTTCTTAATTGGAGCGTTATTTAAGAAACTACAGCCGATTTTAGGTTTTTCATATAAAAATCGATTTTTCATGGAAAATATGAGTGATCACAGATTTTCACTATTTTCTTAATTGGAGCGTTATTTAAGAAACTACAGCCGATTTTAGGTTTTTCATATAAAAATCGGTTTTTGATCGAAAATATAAGTGATCACAGATTTTCATTATTTTCTAAATTGGAGCGTTATTTAAGAAACTACAGCTGATTTAAGGTTTTTCATATAAAAATCGATTTTTCATGGAAAATAAGAGTGATCACAGATTTTCACTATTTTCTTAATTGGAGCGTTATTTAAGAAACTACAGCCGATTTAAGGTTTTTCATATAAAAATCGATTTTTCATTAAAAATATGAGTGATCACAGATTTTCACCATTTTCTTAATTGGAGCGTTATTTAAGAAATTACAGCCGATTTAAGGTTTTTCATATAAATTCAATTTTTCATGGAAAATAATAGTGATCACAGATTTTCGCTATTTTCTTAATTGGAGCGTTATTTAAGGAACTACAGCCAATTTAAGGTTTTTCATATAAAAATCGATTTTTCGTAGAAAATATGAGTGATCACAGATTTTCACTATTTTTTCAATTGTAGCGTTATTTAAGAAACTACAGCCGAATTTAGGTTTCTTATATAAAAATCGATTTTTCATGGAAAATATGAATGATCACAGATTTTCATTATTTTCTTAAATGGAGCGTAATTTAAGAAACAACAGCCGATTTTAGGTTTTTCATATAAAAATGGATTTTTTATGGAAAATATGACTGATCACAGATTTTCATTATTTTCTTAATTGGAGCGTTATTTAAGAAACTACAGCCGATTTACGGTTTTTCATATAAAAATTGATTTTTCATGGAAAGTATGAGTGATCAAAGATTTTCACTATTTTCTTAATTGGAGCGTTATTTAAGGAACTACAGCCAATTTTAAGTTTTTCATATAAAGATCGATTTTTCATGGAAAATATGAGTGATCACAGATTTTCACTATTTTCTTAATTGGAGCGTTATTTAAGGAACTACAGCCGATTTAACGTTTTTCATATAAAAATCGATTTTTCATGGAAAATAAGAGTGATCACAGATTTTCACTATTTTCTTAATTGGAGCGTTATTTAAGAAACTACAGCCGATATTAGGTTTTTCATATAAAAATCGATTTTTGGTGGGAAATATGAATGATCACAGATTTTCACTATTTTCTTAATTGGAGCGTTATTTAAGGAACTAGAGCCGATTTTAGGTTTCTCATATAAAAATCGATTTTTCATGGAAAATAAGAGTGATCACAGATTTTCACTATTTTCTTAATTGGAGCGTTATTTAAGGAACTACAGCCAATTTTAGGTTTTTCATATAAAGATCGATTTTTCATGGAAAATATGAGTGATCACAGATTTTCACTATTTTCTTAATTGGAGCGTTATTTAAGAAACTACAGCCGATTTTAGGTTTTTCATATAAAAATCGATTTTTCACGGAAAGTATGAGTGATCACAGATTTTCACTATTTTCTTAATTGGAGCTTTATTTAAGAAACTACAGCCGATTTTAGGTTTTTCATATAAAAATCGATTTTTCATGGAAAATATTAGTGATCACAGATTTTCACTATTTTCTTAATTGGAGCGTTATTTAAGAAACTACAGCCGATTTTAGGTTTTTCATATAAAAATCGATTTTTCACGGAAAGTATGAGTGATCACAGATTTTTACTATTTTCTTAATTGGAGCGTTATTTAAGAAACTACAGCCGATTTTAGGTTTTTCATATAAAAATCTAGTATTCATGGAAAATAAGAGTGATCACAGATTTTCACTATTTTCTTAATTGGAGCGTTATTTAAGAAACTACAGCAGATTTTAGGTTTTTCATATAAAAATCGATTTTTTATGGAAAATATAAGTGATCACAGATTTTCACTATTTTCTTAATTGGAGCGTTATTTAAGAAACTACAGCCGATTTTAGGTTTTTCATATAAAAATCGATTTTTCATGGAAAATATTTAGTTATTTAAGAAACTACAGCCGATTTTAGGTTTTTCATATAAAAATCGATTTTTCATGGAAAATATTTAGTTATTTAAGAAACTACAGCCGATTTTAGGTTTTTCATATAAAAATCGATTTTTCATGGAAAATAAGAGTGATCACAAATTTTCACTATTTTCTTAATTGGAGCGTTATTTAAGAAACTACAGCCGATTTTAGGTTTTTCATATAAAAATGGATTTTTCATGGAAAATATGAGTGATCACTATTTTCTCAATTGGAGCGTTATTTAAGAAATTACGGCCCATTTTATATTTTTCATATAAAAATGGATTTTTCATGGAAAATAAGAGTGATTACAGATTTTCACTATTTTCTCAATTGGAGCGTTATTTAAGACACTACAGCCGATTTTAGGTTTTTCATATAAAAATCGATTTTTCATGGAAAATATGAGTGATCACAGATTTTCACTATTTTCTCAATTGGAGCGTTATTTAAGAAATTACAGCCCATTTTATATTTTTCATATAAAAATGCATTTTTCATGGAAAATAAGAGTGATTACAGACTTTCACTATTTTCTCAATTGGAGCGTTATTTAAGAATCTACAGCCGATTTAAGGTTTTTCATATAAAAAGCGATTTTTCATGGAAAATATGAGTCATCACAGATTTTCACTATTTTCCTAATTGGAGCGTTATTTAAGAAACTACAGAGGATTTAATCTTTTTCATATAAAAATCGATTTTTCATGGAAAATAAGAGTGATCACAGATTTTCACTATTTTCTTAATTGGAGCGTTATTTAAGAAACTACAGCCGATTTTAGGTTTTTTGTCAATCGGAGCGTTATTTAAGAAACTAAAGCCGATTTTAGATTTTCTATATAAAAATAGATTTTTCATGGAAAATAAGATTGATGACAGATTTTCACTATTTTCTTAATTGGAGCGTTATTTAAGAACCTACTGTTTTTCATATAAAAATCGATTTTTCATTAAAAATAAGAGTGATCACAGATTTTCACTATTTTCTTAATTGGAGCGTTATTTAAGGAACTACAGCCGATTTAAGTTTTTCATATAAAAATCGATTTTTCATTAAAAATATGAGTGATCACAGATTTTCACTATTTTCTTAATTGGAGCGTTATTTAAGGAACTACAGCCGATTTTAGGGTTTTCATATAAAAATTGAGACCATGTTCTCAAATGGAGTCTTATTTAAAGAACTACAGCCGAAAAGTGATTATCTCGTAGTCTGGCTTCCTTAACTTAATTATCATTTAAAATGTCAATTTATAATAAAAATAAATAACAATTTTTAATAAAAAAAACAAGGAAAAATGTTTACAAAACCTCTACGAAAACTAAACAAAACTTATGATCCTCATTTACATCGTCAAATTCAACGGCCTATAACGTAAGATCATTTTTGTTAATTAATAAGATAATCTTAAATTATTACTCAATAATATCCGGCAGAAACATTGAAGCCTTTGTAATTATAATCAAATGTTCCATTGGCACTGGTTGTTTGGAAATGCCTAGAGCTTTCTGTAATGCCGGCTGGTTAAATGGCATAATAGGAACATTTGTTATTGGTGGCATAATGGTCTATGCCGTACATTTACTGGTGAGTTCGCAAGATATTAAAAAGTATGACAAAAAATCTAACAAACTTATTTAAATGCTAGATCCATGCCATGTATGAATTATGTCAAAGACACAAAGAAGCTTCTTTAACTTATCCCGAATGTATGCGTTTTGCTTTAGTGGACGGTCCTCCTTGTCTGCGTAAATTTTCGTTAATATCGGGGTAAGTTAAACGTTTCTGTAAATTTGCGTATAATTAACAACTTTAGTGTAATTTTCTAGTGGCATTGTGGACTTTTTCATGTGTTTGTATCACTTCGGCGTTAGCTGTGTCTATGTCTTGTTTATAGCGGATAATATTAAACAATTGCTGGATTTTTATTATGCTAAATATGATTTTCATATGCATGTTTTAGCCTTAACACTTCCCTTGATTTCAATTTTCTTAATACGAGATCTAAAAGCGTTAGTGCCATTCAATACATTGGCTAATTTACTTTTCTTTTTGGGTTTCTCTTTGATACTTTTGTACATTTTAGAAGATCTTCCACCGTTAAGTGAAAGAAACATGTTTAACAAAATCGATCGTTATCCTTTGTATTTTGGTACAGTGCTATTTGCCATGGAATCGGTGGGTGTGGTGAGTTAAAAATTAATATTTTTTATAATGTAGGTATTAGACTAGTCTATAGTCTAGTCTATAGTCTAGTCTATAGTCTAGTCTATAGTCTAGTCTATAGTCTAATCTATAGTCTAGTCTATAGTCTAGTCTATAGTCTAGTCTATAGTCTAGTCTATAGTCTAGTCTATAGTCTAGTCTATAGTCTAGTCTATAGTCTAGTCTATAGTCTAGTCTAGTCTAGTCTATAGTCTAGTCTATAGTCTAGTCTACAGTCTAGTCTATAGTCTAGTCTATAGTCTAGTCTATAGTCTAGTCTATAGTCTAGTCTATAGTCTAGTCTATAGTCTAGTCTATAGTCTAGTCTATAGTCTAGTCTATAGTCTAGTCTATAGTCTAGTCTATAGTCTAGTCTATAGTCTAGTCTATAGTCTAGTCTATAGTCTAGTCTATAGTCTAGTCTATAGTCTAGTCTATAGTCTAGTCTATAGTCTAGTCTATAGTCTAGTCTATAGTCTAGTCTATAGTCTAGTCTATAGTCTAGTCTATAGTCTAGTCTATAGTCTAGTCTATAGTCTAGTCTATAGTCTAGTCTATAGTCTAGTCTATAGTCTAGTCTATAGTCTAGTCTATAGTCTAGTCTATAGTCTAGTCTATAGTCTAGTCTATAGTCTAGTCTATAGTCTAGTCTATAGTCTAGTCTATAGTCTAGTCTATAGTCTAGTCTATAGTCTAGTCTATAGTCTAGTCTATAGTCTAGTCTATAGTCTAGTCTATAGTCTATAGTCTAGTCTATAGTCTAGTCTATAGTCTAGTCTATAGTCTAGTCTATAGTCTAGTCTATAGTCTAGTCTATAGTCTAGTCTATAGTCTAGTATAGTCTAGTCTATAGTCTAGTCTATAGTCTAGTCTATAGTCTAGTCTATAGTCTAGTCTATAGTCTAGTCTATAGTCTAGTCTATAGTCTAGTCTATAGTCTAGTCTATAGTCTAGTCTATAGTCTAGTCTATAGTCTAGTCTATAGTAGTCTATAGTCTAGTCTAGTCTAGTCTATAGTCAGTATAGTCTAGTCTAGTCTAGTCTATAGTCTAGTCTAGTCTATAGTCTAGTCTAGTCTATAGTCTAGTCTAGTCTATAGTCTAGTCTATAGTCTAGTCTATAGTCTAGTCTATAGTCTAGTCTATAGTCTAGTCTATAGTCTAGTCTATAGTCTAGTATAGTCTAGTCTATAGTCTAGTCTATAGTCTAGACTATAGTCCGATCATTAACTGTTATATATTTTCCAATTCATAGATCATTGCCATCGAACATGAAATGGCTAATCCAAAGGATTATTTAGGATTTAGCGGCATCTTGAGTTTGGGATCTTTTATATCGCTTTGCCTTTATGCTGCCTTTGGTTTTGTTGGCTATTGGCGCTATGATTGTCAGGTTTATGGTAGTATAACTCTAAATTTACCACCCGATATGTTGTAAGTAATTGAGGTCGCAATTTTTCTACTAAAAAATGTTTGTACTACCACCATAGTCATAGGTAACATATTGTAGATCTCTAAATAGTATGAATTCTTGTCAAATTCTAAATTGATTTGTCTCTTGATATGATTCAAAATAGTTGCTGTTTATCAGATTGGCATTAAAAATGGACCAAATTTGTTCCAAGTCATTAGCGACTATATGGAGGGATCTTGAAAGTTAAAATCTGGGATTACGAAACCAACTAACCAATAATTTCTTATATCTTTTTAGACTTTCTCAACTTATTAAAATAATGTTTGCGGTTGCTATATACTTTTCGTACGCTTTACAGGGTTACATTACAGTAGATGTTTTATGGCATCATTATTTTTCAAACTGGTTTGATCAGGAAGATCAAATAATAATGGAATATAATGTAAGATGTTCGATAGCATTGGTAACAGGTAATAAGAAAGGGCACATTAGATCAATGTTCAGTTCTCGTTGCTGTAATATTTTTCTTTTTCCAGTTTTAGTTGCTGTTATATCCCCTGATATTTCGATATTTCTACCACTAGTTGGTTCTTTCTGCTTAACCATTTTGGGTTTTGTATTACCAGCTCTAATGGATCTTTGTGTTAAATACAATGTCGGCTATGGACCCTATAAATATATTTTGATAAGAGATATTGCACTCATTACTTTTGGAATATTTGGCAGTTTTATTGGTACCTGGGTGGCTTCACAAAATATCAAATTAAAATATGGAGAAAAAGGTGAACCCAACGAAAGTCTTTTATATTTTACAGACTTATTATAATTGAGCATAACAAACTATTTTGAACTGTGATTAGCCTAATTATATATTGCCAAAATAAAACTCCAGCTAAATGAATATATTCTCGCAAAAGATTAAATAGTTGTTAAAATATTGCAACACCAAATGTTAGTTAAGATACTCCTATCTTTACTTTTTTCTTTTACCTTTAAACTAATTAGAAGATGGCTCAATTAAGCTAACAAGATATTTGTTGTACTCCTAGTTGTTGTAGTTGTTGTTGCAGTTGTTTTACACTAGTGTACTAGTACTACGTGTTCGAGTAAATAGTTTAGGAATAGTAGTTGTGTAATAAAATCAACTTAAATTTATGTGGCATGATTGTTTTACTACTATTCAGTTGCACTGTGTTGTTATTATTTTGTATATAAACTCTGCATTTAACTCCTCTACTCTATTCCTAAAGTGTTATTTGTTGTAGTTGTTTTGACTTTGGTTTTAGTTGGTTAAAATATTGTAAGAACTTTTGTTAAGTTTAAGTGCTAAATTTAGTGTAATGATTTTGGTAGTAGAAATAGTAGTTGTTGTAGTAGTGGAAGAAGAAGTCGTAATCGTTGTTGTTAGAGTTGTATGCAGTTGTTGGTGTTGTTTATGTAACAACTTTGACGTTGCAAGTTGTCATAAATTCAAATAAATGTAGATATTACAATAAGGGTCGACTAAGAAGTAGGCTGTGTTCTGAACATTTCGTTGGGCAGTTTAAATGAAATACTTACTCAACTCCTTATTAGAAAGCGATTATGGTAAGTACTTATTTAACTCCCTCTTTATAAGCGTGCGTAAATACTTGCTTCTAATCACCGTGTTTAAATAATATCTTCATTTTAGTATACATTTTCTATAATGAATTCTGCTATTAACTTTTTCGAAGAATCTAGTTAAAACTATATTCAACAGTAGGGTACATAATTATATCTAGACTCTATTTAAATGAAATTTCCTTTTAAGGTGTACACTTGTAAATTTAAAGTTATTTGGGAGTGAAGCCTCAAATGCAACAAAAATAAAAAACATATCAGAATTCTTATATAGTTTAATATGATAAGTATTTCCTATTGTATTTATAAGAACTATTCCTTATTTTTCCCTCATATACCCTACATATTGGTAGTTCGCTAAAAATTTCTTCTTCCATCAGAGATCATTTGCCGCATTTAGGCGTATTTAATAATTTCTCATATTTTAAAGAATTTAGATTATAAAGGTGGATTGTAGATTAATTATACAGTTCGACAAAATTTGAAAAAATATCGAAACCCTGAGAAGAAGTTATACTCTTCTGAATCTGACAGAATAGACTTTCAGATGGTACAATATACCATAAAAAATGTTGTCCTAGGTGCAAATCGTGGAACGACCTGTAAGATCATATTGTGGAGATGATCAAGAAATTGAGACAATGATGGAGAAGGGCTAGTTAGTTAGCTAGTTCGTTAGTTAGTTAGTTAGTTAGTTAATTAGTAGTAGTTAGTCAAAGTTAAGTAGTTAGTTGAGTACAATAGTTATGTAGTAGTTGTTAGTAGTAGTTAGTTAGAGTTAGTTAGTAGTTTGTTAGTTAGTTAGTTGTTAGTTAGAGTAGTTAGTTAGTTAGTAGTTAGTAGTAGTTAGTTAGTTAGTAGTTTTTAGTTAGTTAGTTAGTTAGTTAGTAGTTAGTTAGTTAGTTAGTTAGTTAGTTAGTTAGTTAGTTAGTTAGTTAGTTAGTTAGTAGTTAGTAGTTAGTTAGTTAGTTAGTTAGTTAGTTAGTTAGTTAGTTAGTTAGTTAGTTAGTTAGTTAGTTAGTTAGTTAGTTAGTAGTTAGTTAGTTAGTTAGTTAGTTAGTTAGTTAGTTAGTTAGTTAGTTAGTTAGTAGTTAGTTAGTTAGTTAGTTAGTTAGTTAGTTAGTTAGTTAGTTAGTTAGTTAGTTAGTTAGTTAGTTAGTTAGTAGTTAGTTAGTTAGTTAGTTAGTTAGTTAGTTAGTTAGTTAGTTAGTTAGTTAGTTAGTTAGTTAGTTAGTTAGTTAGTTAGTTAGTAGTTAGTTAGTTAGTTAGTTAGTTAGTTAGTTAGTTAGTTAGTTAGTTAGTTAGTTAGTAGTTAGTAGTTAGTTAGTTAGTTAGTTAGTTAGTTAGTTAGTTAGTTAGTTAGTTAGTTAGTTAGTTAGTTAGTTAGTTAGTTAGTTAGTTAGTTAGTTAGTTAGTTAGTTAGTTAGTTAGTTAGTTAGTTAGTTAGTTAGTTAGTTAGTTAGTTAGTTAGTTAGTTAGTTAGTTAGTTAGTTAGTTAGTTAGTTAGTTAGTTAGTTAGTTAGTTAGTTAGTAGTTAGTTAGTTAGTTAGTTAGTTAGTTAGTTAGTTAGTTAGTTAGTTAGTTAGTTAGTTAGTTAGTTAGTTAGTAGTTAGTTAGTTAGTTAGTAGTTAGTTAGTTAGTTAGTTAGTTAGTTAGTAGTTAGTTAGTTAGTTAGTAGTTAGTTAGTTAGTTAGTTAGTTAGTTAGTTAGTTAGTTAGTTAGTTAGTTAGTTAGTTAGTTAGTTAGTTAGTTAGTTAGTTAGTTAGTTAGTAGTTAGTTAGTTAGTTAGTTAGTTAGTTAGTTAGTTAGTTAGTTAGTTAGTTAGTTAGTTAGTTAGTTAGTTAGTTAGTTAGTTAGTTAGTTAGTTAGTTAGTTAGTTGTAGTTAGTTAGTAGTTAGTTAGTTAGTAGTTAGTTAGTTAGTTAGTTAGTTAGTTAGTTAGTTAGTTAGTTAGTTAGTTAGTTTTCGTTAGTTAGTTAGTAGTTAGTAGTTATAGTTCGTTAGTAGTTAGTTAGTTAGTAGTTAGTTAGTAGTTAGTTAGTTAGTATTAGTTAGTTAGTTAGTTAGTTAGTTAGTTAGTTAGTTAGTTCGTTAGTTAGTTAGTTAGTTAGTTAGTTTAGTTAGTTAGTTAGTTAGTTAGTTAGTTAGTAGTTAGTTAGTTAGTTAGTAGTTAGTTAGTTAGTTAGTTAGTAGTTAGTTAGTAGTTAGTTAGTTAGTTAGTTAGTTAGTTAGTTAGTTAGTTAGTTAGTTAGTTATGTTAGTTAGTTAGTTAGTTAGTTAGTTAGTTAGTTAGTTAGTTAGTTAGTTAGTTAGTAGGTTAGTTAGTTAGTTAGTTAGTTATGTTAGTTATTAGTTAGTTATTAGTTAGTAGTAGTTAGTTAGTTAGTTAGTTAGTAGTTAGTTAGTTAGTTAGTTAGTTAGTTAGTTAGTTAGTTAGTTAGTTAGTTAGTTAGTTAGTTAGTTAGTTAGTTAGTAGTTAGTTAGTAGTTAGTTAGTTAGTTAGTTAGTTAGTAGTTAGTTAGTTAGTTAGTTAGTTAGTTAGTTTAGTTAGTTAGTTAGTTAGTTAGTTAGTTAGTTAGTTAGTTAGTTAGTTAGTTAGTTAGTTAGTTAGTTAGTTAGTTAGTTAGTTAGTTAGTTAGTTAGTTAGTTAGTTAGTTAGTTAGTTAGTTAGGTAGTTAGTTAGTTAGTTCAAAGTTATAGTCAAAAAATCAATAAATTTTCCTTTTCGATATGTAGAAGAACCCTTACATTTCGGTTAGTCTCCAAAATTCTGAAATGTTTATTTATCTTTTTAAACTAAGTATTTCCAAATCTTTTACATTCCTTTTCTAAATAATCGCAATCACTTTTCGAAAGTGTTGGTTTAACTAACCTGTAAATGGATTAAAACGTACTTTATCTTGATCGATATATTTGTTGTTTAACTTTCCATGAACATACAAAAATACATTGAGTTCGCCAATTGTATCTACATAAACTATAGCTAACAACCCTGCAGTTAATGGAACTAAATCCATTTTGACATGTGCATGATAATAAAATTAATAATACAGGAAAGTGGCAAGGATCTAGTTCCACAAGTTAATAAAATATATGAAATATAAAAGACTTCCTTTAAAACTGTATGGTAGATAATATCTACACAGTACATTTTACATGATTTTTTTTTGGGCTCCTTTTTTACCAAAAGGTAAATATTTGAAGGTTTGTTTACTTTTGTAAAAACTTGTCTGGTTGTTTGTTTGATTGTGGGAACTTGTTAGTATTTGGCCAATAATCAAGTGCGCTTGTTAAATTCGTATTTGTTAGAATGAAATTTTTTCCTTGCTGTTTTCTGTTTGTTTTTCTAAAGACATTTTTTGTTAAACTATGTTAGAGAATACAATGCGTTGGTGATTTTATAATACCCATAAACAAATATTTTAGTTTGGTTTGTTAAATAAATTTTAAAATTTGGTGGATTACTTTTATCATTTTCAAATCATTTTATTTTCATATAAATATTTACTAAAACTTTTTTCTTTTAAAGGGTTAAAAACTGTAGTGGGTTGTTTCATTTAAAACACAAATACAAGGTTTTTTGATAAGAAAATCTATACAAATAAAAAAGTCATGTTCGCAATCAATAAACTGAGGGACTACGGAACTTAATGGGTAGAATTATGAAATATTGCTGGACTCGTAAGAACTGTTCCTGAGAAGTGTTGTGTTTGTCGGATGAGTGGAGTCAGCTTAAGTTCTACTATGTCCGACTATCTTATGAATAAGTTGTTCGATTTTTCCTTGTACTAAATTTAAATTTCATATCTTTTCATATCCATCTACATGCATACGCACATTTTTTTCGAAATGTCTTATTTACAAATTGACCTTTAAACCGTCAAGAGGCAAAAAAAAACTATACTTTTCCCTTCAACTTATTTAAAAGAGATTTATGCCTATAACGCATTTCTTTGGTGTTTTCAAGTCGTTTGTTGTTTAATTTTACATAATATTCTTGTACATTATTTCAATTGCAGTTTTTATCGTATACACCACTATAGGGTATTATGAGTTTGTTTAAAAGTTTGTAACAATAACGAAAATGGTCCTGCAGTCATTACAGAATTACTTTCCAAGTCTCTCTGTTCGATCTTAAAAACCTAACCCGTACAAATAGCAAAATCGCATACTAAATTTCTATAGTCTAGTCTATAGTCTAGTCTATAGTCTAGTCTATAGTCTA